ACGCTCATCACATGCGTGCATCTAAGAAAGCCAAATAAAAAGGCTGAGCCAGTGAAGGCAAGGAAACTACATATGCTCTTCAATTGATCTCGCAGCTAAAGAAGACAAAAGACTAAAAATATGAATCTCAAGAGAAACCTGTAAAAGGTATAGGAAAGATGCCCTGTACATGACAAATGCACCTTGCTCACATTTCTCAAAACAGGCACGCGCTGTCTAAGGTGTTACGATGCCTCGGTCCTTCGTTGTATGTCTGGGGTTTTGTAAATAAAACTTCACTGGTACAAGCTATTGCAAATTTGCCCCATTGATAACCAGATACTCAAAGACAGGTCCAGTAACCAATGCCTCTAAGCATCCTGTTTGACCACTCCAGGCCCATCACCTGTAACTGACCTATACTTGCAGGGGCTGCAGAGAAACACAAGTCTTTACACCTAGACAAATCAGAAAACAGGAGCCAGGCATTTTAACAATTGTAATATGATGGTCACCCTTTTCCTCCTGGTTTTGTCTGGACTCTAATCGGGCAACTATCAAGGAAAAATGCTTTGAAGCTATACAATTAAACGGTATAAGAATTAAGCAAATTTGCCAGCAAGGTGCGCACTCCAGGAGAAACTGAGGGAGATCACTACAACACTGCACACAGCTTAACCAGCAACGGATGCTGCTTGGTGAAAGCTGCAAGGCTCGACCTGCATTGGCGAGAAAACACTGCTGGAGCTAAATATGTACTAGGACTTTGCGGAGTAGCTCATTTTATTTTGGGAAGGAGTCTTTTCTGTCATTTAGTTTTATTGCCTGCTTGTGGTATTGTTATTAAAGCCTTTCTGCTATTGATCAACTGGGTGGTGTGTCAAGTCTTGGGGCACTAGCTTTAAAAACCTGTTTTTAAGTGCAACACCCCCGCCCTCCCTCCATCCAAGAGTGTTTCAGATAGGAATGGGTGGAGGGGAGGAAAAGGGAGAGGATTGTCGGTGACTGGCCCACTCCACGGGGTCTCAGCCAAGCCAGGCTGGTCATGCAGCTGGGAACTACATCCGGCCAGAGCCAGCCCACCCTGGGCAGCACCACATGGTTCCTGGTTGCAATTGCCTCTAGATACACCTTTCCACCCCCCCCACCATACCCCAACACACCCACACCCTCCCACATTCCCCTCACACACTCCCACCTCTCTACCCCCTACCATTCCCACAAACATACCCTCCCACACACATTCCCATCCCACCCACCATAACCCCACTCTCCCACCACCCCTACTCCAACCACGTACCCTACATCCACACCCATTCACCCCCCGCACCATACCCACACCCCACCACACACACCCCCACTCCCCAACCACACATGCATCACATATACCCCCTTATCCTCCCCATACAATATACAAGAGTAGGACTGTATTTTGAGCTATTATGCAATTGCTTCTGGATACACTATGAAAATACACATACATCAGGACAAAAATATTTTTCAAAATAAAAATTAAAGTAAGTTACAGGTGCTTTTTATTATATGATTTTTTTTTCTGTTTCATGATGGCAGCACCCCCCCCCCCTCTCCCCTCCCAAAAGGAGTACTTCTGGGACCTGGGGATGGACTTCTGGTTCCAAAATGGCAACCAGGGGGCAGGGCACCTGTCAAGGGACGGGGTTACCCTTGCAGCCCCCCAACAGCTCACCAAAACTTGTTAAGCACTCCTCCAGCCAAAATAATTTCCTGCCCTGATTTAAATTGATTTGATTTAAATCAAATCCATCCCAAGTGTACATTAACTCAGGTGTAGAAATGAGTAACAGGGAAGCATTGGATACTCAAGAAGGCTAGATTTTGTATTATAGATTCATAGATTGTTAAGGGCTGGAAGGGACCTTGTAGATCATTGGGTCCAGCCCCCTTGCACTAGGCAGGAAAAGACAACTGGGGTCAAGTGACCCCAGCGAGGTGACTGTTCAGTCTCCTTCTGAAGAGTTCCAGAGTAGGTGACTGCACCATATCTGGAGGGAGTGTATTCCACAGTCCGGACACCCTAACAGTGAAGGAGTATTAAGCCTGAAGCGGCCTTCCAGGAGTTTGTATCCATTGCTCCTGGTTTTCCCCAGGGGTGCCCTGGTGAACAGTTGTTCACTGAGTTCTTGATGTACTCCCCTGATGTAGCAGTATGCCGCTACCTCGTCCCCTCTCAGCCTTCTCTTCTGTAGGCTGAAGAGGCTCCAGTCCCTCAGCCTCTCCTCGTATGGCTTGTCTTGCAAGTCCCTGATCGTATGGGTGGTGAATCTGAATAAAAGATGTACGCTTAATCATAAGGACTACAGGACTAATAAAACAGTATCTTTTGAGAATTTTTGTCGTTCATTTTTTTAATTGAATATATAATCTAGGAAATTAGTTTGCATTCCAACAAAGCTGTATTTAGTTTTGCTTTGATCTAAAACTGAATAATATAGCTGAGGGCTCCTAGCATTTTAGTACATCTTTTAGTTTCTCTTTAACTAGAGAAATGTATGTGTTGTGTCAATGCACCACACCCCTTGCATCTCACTTCTTCAAAATCCTGGATCTGCCTATGGTAGCTAGGGTTACCATCATGAATTTGAGCACGTGATGGAGCTGAGCTTTAAGTCCAAGAGTCATTTTTTAACTTCTTTATAGCCCTTAAGGTTAATGGGGAGGAGTCCTCTTGTCCAAAGCATGAGTCTATAAGAAGGGGCCCTGAAAAGTGAAGTGAGGTGAATCATCACGGGCACTATGCTGTACTGAATAGTATAGACATAGCCATGTCCATGACCTGCTGACCCTACCTTTTTTTTTCCAGGGAGCCAACCAAAAGTGCAGAGCCTGCCTACCATTGTGATTTTGGTTGGTACCTAGCGATCAGCTAAAGGGATTGCCAGAGAATGCTTTTTTTCACAAAAGCATGCTGGTACTTTTCTAGATAGCTTGGAGATTGGTACTGCCAGGAACTTTGAGCAGGCAGGCCAGCCTGAGCCAAGTACTGCTTCAGTAAATCTCACCTCATGAGCTTTGCCCCGTTTAGGAGCAGCGAGTATCCTGACTGGCAGCTGGCAGTGCTGCCTATCCATTTAACACGTGCTGGAGCTGTGAGTTTGAAGGCCAGTCAACAGCTCTGCTGTGACAAGCCTCCTGGTTCTTGACCCTGGGTTTTTGGCTTATTTCTGAACTTCAGCTTTGGATTTCCCTGTGGATCTGTTTCCTGGCTCCTGACCCTGGTTTGGCTCTGTTTCAAACTTTGCCCTGTGGATTGCTCCTTGGATTGGTACTTGGCATCTGATCTTTGCATCCTGACTTTGGACTGTGTTGTGGACTCTACTTCTGGATTTCCTTCTGGTATTGGTACAGGATTCCTGTCCGCTGACCCAGGCCCAAGCCCTTGCTTTCCCTCAATGTTCTAACCATTAGGCAAGACTGCCTGTGCCCCAGTCCCTTTTAGGTACAAGACTGAGAAGAAACTATTTCAAGAGAGGCTGGGGCCACAGACTCTCCCTTAATCTAGGCAATGAATGCTTCTCTGAAGTCCGGTGACATTTTATCAGTAAAGGATATGAGGTGCTTGTAGAGTCTAAAGTTGTACTAGGTCAACAAGGTTGTTGTTGGCAACTTGGTACTACAAGCTGGCAGGAGTACAACTTGTTTCCCAGAAATTCCAGTCATTTCAACGGTAAGGTAGAGGAGTGGGGTGAAGCAGAACCATTTTGCTTTTTCATTGGTCACAATAACCAGCAGCAAAGATGTAGGATGAGTACAGATACCTCCAAACCCCTTGAAGGGATCTGACATTGCCAGTCAACATTTCACCTCTTCAGGGAGAGGTGCTAGGCATCTGTCACACAATTCTTGTGGGACCCAATCTAGATTTATGAATAGGGAGCACTATGCAGATTACCTATATCCAGGAACCTGTGCATGGGCTATTTAACCTTCTTGATGGGAACTTGCAGGGCTTGAATAATTTATTTCAGGTTTTGTAAGCATGTGAGTTGTTGAAAGTGGAAAAACTGACTTTTCTGGGGGGAGGAGGAAAGCAGGAAGCCCCTCCATCCTGAGACTCAGATTTTGAGAATACTTTTGTTCCAAAGAGGAGGGATCCAAACAGAATGATCTAAGCTGAATGGGAGGACTACAGCCAAAACCAGACAGGCCCCCAGACTGCTGAGCTGGAAACTGGAAGACATGTCATGATGGGTAGCTTGGAGGTTCAAGGCTTCTTTCCCAAAAGGGTTATATGACCATGGTAGCAAGGGCTGGGTACTTGGAGCTGTGCTCATCATTCAAATCAATAATCTGATTAAGGAGACTTCCTCTGTGTCTGAGAGACATAGCTTGAACCAGGTAACCTGAAGGAAGCCCTATCAACAGTCAGAAAAAGGACCCACCCAAAGCAACTGACGCCTCACTCAGCTAAGTCCAAGTAACCTCAGAGTCTCACAAGAAAAGTGATAGAAAAAATATGAAAAGGAAAGAAAGAAAAAGACACTAGGAGTCCAACAATAAGAAGGGGAAAGAAAATCGGAGAAAAAAGTGAAGAAAGCTGGTTCTTAATGAAATAGATGACAAGCTCTATCTTAAGCCAAACTAGCCAGGAGGAACACAAGAAGAGGCAAGGCACAGGGCACACTGCACAGGTACCATTTGGGCAAAGGTATCCAAACTTAATTGCTGGAGGCACATGTACCCCCACTTTAGGAGTGCTGGTGAGAAGTTGAAGCTCCTCACCCAGCCATCTAGAGAACAGCCTAGGGAGAGCTCCGCCATTCTTCTGGGAGCAGCACTCCCAATTTGTTGAGAAAAAGGCAGCGTGGCTTGGTGGAAATAGTTTCTGCTCCACTTCTAGCCATTGGCTGTGGTAGGAATCATGAGTCCAAGGCATCTTAATCATTGGAAGAGGCAGCAAACAATAGCTGGGGATGTGTCTGAGGAAGGAATAGTAAGATAGTCCCATAGTCCAAAGCAATGATGGGCCCAAACACAGCAGCACTAATATAGAGATTTTATTTCAACTGTATTGAGTTTTACAGCACATATTATTTGTTACAACCCGACTGAACTGATTTTGGAGTTTTGGGCCCAAAAGCAGTTTGGATTAACCAAGCCTGAATCAAAGGGTCCAGGGTTACGGGGCCTGATTCTCTGCTGCCTTGATACCAGCAAACAGTTTCACCTATGCAACCTACTGCAAATTTCAAGGCAGGGGAGAATCAGCAGTACAGTGTCCGTTTCCCTTCTCAAAGCCACGTTGTTTGCTCCCAGTATGGAAGAGCAGATACAGTCTCTTCAGATGACACTAGCTTTGTTTATATTGTTGGGATATGGGAGAGAGAGAGAGAGAGAGAGAGAGAGAGAGAGAGAGAGAGAGACGCTGGCATGTAAAAGTACAGAAAAGGACTCTTTATTCCACTCCTTCAATTGAACTTTACAAACCACTGGCAATAAATAGCTGGGCAATCAGAGTGTGATATCAAGTGTTTGCCTAGTTATTTACTAGATCAGGCAGGGGCTCACAGCCCCTCCCCCTATGGAGTCTCAGCTCCTGAAGTGTAAGATATGTGGGGTCTTCTCATTCAGTTTGGAGAGAAACAATCTACACTGCTATAAAGAAATGTCCTTGGTTCCATGCTTTTCCCCCTCACACCCATTAACATCTCTGCAGGTTTCTTAGGAATAAGATAGCACGGAAATTGCCTATAAGGATCCAGGAAAGGGCAGAAACTCATCTGTAATCCACGTCTTTCTAAATTCAAATCCCAGTTAGTTCTCCTTAAATGAGCTGGGACACCTGGTATCTAGAGTATGGAAGCAGTAGAGAAGCAATTACTATAGATTTCAAAATGGGCAACTCTAAATTTGATTTCTGTACAGCAGATAAAAGGAAGACAAATTCAAGAGAGACTTCTAGGTGGTATCAGCATGAATCAGAGACTGTTTCTGTTGTGTAGAAGCAGATGCCACACATGCCTATTACTGTATCTTTTGGTTATACAGACTAACGTGAAATCACAGACTGCAAAGTCCCCACTGGCTGGCATTCTCCCCCATCCCCATTTGGTATTAATGCTTCATTCTCCCTTCTTCGGGTGACATTAAGTGCACAGAAATATATAGCAGCATTTGGACTGAAACCCTCACATACACCAAACAGCACATTCCAGGAGGTAAAACAACACATTATGGTCTAAATCCTCCAGATGTCAAGTTTTCAGGATAAAGAACAACAGGAAATTGAGGAGATGGCAGCAGCAAAAGGGGGAAGAGCAACACAGGAGCACAAGTTGTTGTGTTTCCATGCCTGGAGAGGATCACAAGGTCATTCCTGTGTTAGCACTAGGCTGTGACACTGCCAGAGTCTAGGAAAACAAAGTTAGAGCGCGAAGTGAACAAACCAGTCTCCCTTCTCCCTACACACTAATGATGGAGGGCAGAGTCTAGTGCATTCCCCATTCCCAGCAGGACATGGATATCAGTGAAGATCTGCTTGGCCTCAGAGAGAAGCCCTTTCTCACTTTCATACAGAACGCAATCCTTTTCTACAATCAAGAGAAAGTCAGCTCAGTGATGGCTAGTGAGTCCAGACCCCTCATCCACCAAGCTAGTTGCAAACTTAACTCAATGAAAAGAGAACCAACAGAACCCCTACAGACTGAGCCTTTCTGCTTGGATGTTGCCCAGAGTCTGCCCTCGTCCTTCTTCTACAATACTGCCTGTCTTTGGATGGGAAAGTTTGGTTCTAAACATGCCATTCTATTGCTTTTAGGGTACTTTGCACAGGCAGTATCTGTGAAAACACTGCTGTCCAGCCCATAGGGTAGAAGGTTGTGGTCCCCTATTTAGGCCTAGGTGGTCAGACCATAGCATGTGGACACACTGTTACCAAAGTGGGGGGCCCCACTGTTTTCTCTAATCTGAATTCCTCTGCTCCGGACTGATATGGGACTGCTGAAGACAGTGCATTCGAGCTTGGTGTTTAAGTGCCACACCGAAGGCCTTCAAAACTACAGCAGAGGCAGGGCCTTCCCTCAAATTGTGAGTGAAAAGGCAGAGCTTCGATAGGGTCCCTTATCCATCATTCAGCTGGAAGCTGTAGCAATTGGCTTCTTCAGATGTTGGCTCATGAGCTCCCTGGCACGAGACACCTGGATGTGATCATAACATGAGTTGCAGACAAGGACTGGGTCATAGAGCTGTTGATCAGGAATGGGCAGCTTCAGATGGCAGCAGCCAGCACAGAACACGTTCCCACAGTTCCTGTCAAAGGTTAATAAAAAACCAGTGATGGCAGGGAAGAAGACAGTCATAACTCCAGAAAGTACAGACAGTCTATGCATAGATCAAGTTAATCAACCCCCCTCACCCCCAAATCTTTGGCTGATTTTGTAGTTTAGATATTGCCAGAAGGAGGATCAGAGACCCCAGAGACAGCAGGGATAGGCAAACAAAGAGAGAGTCAGTGGCCTTAGGGGGAGGGTATGCAGGGGTGGGTGGAGTTGTACAAGAAGTGGCTACATTTACCTGCAGTGGTGCCTCCGTTTGGCTAACCAGAATTCACAATCACAGTTAAAGCAGTGTGAGGCCATGTGGTCTGGAACCCAACGTGTAACCTGGAAAATATCAGCCTGTATCAGCACCACATACTAGAAGCAGTGTGTGCATAATGCCATATCACTAAGCACACTAACACCTCAAGACTTGAGTCTGAGTTAAACATTGCCTTGCAGTGGGCCAACACCTTGCGTACCATCGCACGTCCTACAACTTCACTCTGCACTTCCTACTGCTACATCACAGCTAGCATGGGAAGCAGGAAGCCAATCCCACCCTGTGTCATGTTGGAGGGCAAGACCTTCCACACTGCAGCATCTATCACTGTCAGAACTGCCGTATGGTGGACAAACCCATCATGGCTATATGTACCACTGCTGTTCAGGGACACACACCTCAGTCTCCTTCTTATCAACAGGCTCCCAGCTTGCTTCAGAGAGGCAGTCCTCACTGTGATCAGAGCAGAAATCCTCTGTGTCACTGCCATCAGATTCTTTCAGACAGGTCTGCAGAGAGAAAGCCAAAGTCAAAAAGGCCATCAGCCACTTTCAACACAGGCCCAAGCATATTCTCACTCCCCAGCCCCTCTCCAAAGAGCTCATGAAAGAAAAATGGGTCTGTCACTCTCCAGAGCAGGGAACAAAGGCAGGAGAATACAGGACCAGACTGGAGTGATCCGTAGGCCCTTCAGAAGCAAATGGAGAGTTGATGAAGGAATCTTTAGGTAGTACGAGAGTGACAGCCAGGGGGATATGATATCCAGATAAAAGGGGTACCTGCTTCTGGGAAGTAAATTCTGGGACACTGCAACTCTGGGGGAAGGAAGAACAGTACTATGATGAGCATGGGAATGACATCAATCTCTGCCCCCAAAGGTATGTGAGCCAGCCAACATATGCCCAAGGAGGACAAGAGAAAGGAGGCTGGTGAAGGCCAAACAGTCAAGGATCACTGCTAGGTCAGAAGCTGCTGCACTGTGGGAGATGGCACCTGAAAACTTATCACTTACAAAGTCATCCTCGTAGTCCATCTGGGGCTCAGCTGGGGGGACGCAGAAGTGACGTATATCCAGCCTTAGCTGGAGCTCTCGCACCTGCCTGCGCAATTGCTCCACCTCCTGTTTGTAACTGGCTTCAATCTGCCGCAGCCTGTGCTGGATCACATCAGTGGGAAAAGGAAGCCCATCATCATCTAGGTAGACAGGAGGCACAGGAGACGGGCATTTTGGTGGCACATGCTTGGGGCCAGATACCTGCTTTAGATGGCAAGGTAACCATGGCCAGTTAGACTTCACCACAGGGCCTGTGCAGTGGGCACTGGGGTGGCCAGGGCAGACTGAGGGCTTTACACCTTCTCTTGGAGACCATGGACCATTGAAGTAGAGCCCTGGTGTCCGCAACTGTTTGCTGTTCAACCTCTTGTTACAACATCCATGGGAAAGGAGCCGTCTGGGCACAGGCTCTCCATTGGGTAGTGATGTTGCCATCCCCTGGAAGCTGTCCCAGTTGGAACCCAAAAGGGAGAATTCACTGGTCTGACTCTGGGAAATTGGCTTTCGCCACAGCTCTAGTGGCACTTTTCCTAGCCGGCCTGTTTCCTCACAGTGCCCAATCCTGCCATTTTTGCTTTTGCCAGTGTTTTCGTCTTGGTAGGGAATGCTTAACCTAGGGCCCAAGGTACCCTGACAAGGAACATTTGGTGCTGGGGCGTCCTGACTGAAAATGCCTGCGGCAGGAGGTAAAGTGTCTTGATAAAGAGGTCTCACATGGCCACCACGTCTTCCATGGGATTCCAGGCTGGCTTTTGAAGGCTCATGAGAACGTGTTTCAATCTGCTCCCCAGAACTAGCGCAAGTCCTGTAGAAGTTCTCCTGTTGAGGAGAGCTTGGAGCTGGGCCTACACCAGTTACATCCTTCAGATTTGGCCTGCTTCCCACTTCTGCCTCAAGAGAGATGTTATTCAGTGGTGAAGGCACCCAGTTACTTAGTGGCTCACACTGCTGTGCTGGATGATCCATGCTCTTGTCAAATTTACTGTTGCTGGCATGCAAGGGGGAAGTTTCTTTCTGCTCTCCCTGTACCTTCTGTGTTTCCCTCACAGCCACCGCACTGCCTTCCTCTAAAAGCAATTCGCTGCCATCTGTGCTGGCATATCTGGGCTCCAGGCTCACTCTGACTTCCTGACAGTGGTTGTTCAGGTTTGGATCACTAGAAGTACGGGTCAGCGGACTGCTGGAGTCGCAAGCTGAAAGCAGGTCATCCATGGATCTTGTCTTTGGTAACCTGGAACAAGAAGACAAAGCCTTGATCTCAGGGGAAAGGTCTAAATCACAAAAAAGGCCATTTTACTACAATAAATCTTGTTGGCTGCTTGTGTTATAGGAAACCTTGGAGCCCAAGATGGGGGATGGAACTGTTCACCGCACACATGACTGTTATCAGCTGGTGGCAGGATGCACTGAAGCATCAACAGAACTGTCACTCATCACATGAAATATATATGTTATAGCCAGTATGTGACAAGTAAACAAAAGTTAGGGTTAAAGTACCATGGCACAGTTGGGACATCACCTTAGAGGCCCACTAAAGCCAACAAAAACATCTTTCAATTTGTAATTGCTACATGAGTCTGGGATGGGATTTTAGAATGGGTCTGTGTACCCAGGCAACTGCTTGAGTACAATGCTAGGAGGAATCTCCCTTCAGATTCCCACTGCCAGTTCCTCAGATGTTACTGTATTTTTCTGCATACAACATATCCTGAAATATTATATTCACCTTGTTTCTGAAAGGCAGAATGAAGGAAAAAAGATTTTTCTACAGTTATAGCTGTAAAGAGCAAGGACAGAACCTATTTTTTGGGTGACTTGCCCTGTCTTTCCTTCTTAACTGAAGCTGAAGCCCCAGCTGCTGCTGAAGACTGGTCTCCATGGGTGGATCTATGATTTTGAAGAGCTAAAGAGGCTGTGAAATCAGAAGAGTGAGACCAGGAGCAGCTAGCAGGCAGCAACATTGCCCTACGAAAGGTTAGCCTGAGTAATGGAACATCAAGATCGTTAAAAAAGAAAGGTGATCATTAACACCTATGGAGTAAAGAACAATAAGCCATTAAGACTACTTTCTCCCTCAGCTACTTCAATAGTAATGTCATAGCTGCTGCACTGTGGGACAGTGACGACACACAGGGGTTGCATGGGGGTGCACGTGTACCCCCTGAGAGCACTGGTGCCCCCCCTGAGTATGCAGGCCGGGGAGTGGGGGTACCAGGAGAAGCGATTTCCACAGTCCCCCCATGGCTGATTGCTGCGACCGGGGTAGGGGGCCCCTGCGTTCGGTGCGAATGGCTGCGGGGAGACCACCCCCACCAAAGTCGCTGACTGGCTGCTGGGAGTGCAAGTGCCCCCCTGACTCAGGAGGCACCAGTCACCCATGCTGTGGAACATGAATCAAAGCAGGGTGCACTTCTATCCAGGGCAAAAAATCAGCTTCCCTGATTAATGCATACCCTCCCCCAAATTTTTGGGGGGCTGATTTTTTGGACAAAGGTATTATTGTATGCATGGTAATCTCTCTACTTAGAAGGATTTGCCTGAAAGGCTGTTCTTTAACTGTGTGCAGCTGGCCCATCAAGGATCTCACACATGGAACTGAAGGCAAAGGCAGCATCGGGGTAGGCTCAAAATGCACAAGCCAACTAACTGTGGAGCTGCAATGATGCAGACAATCCTAGTTTGTGACCTCTTTTTCACATAACACCCTACCTAGGAGCTTTTGTTTACTCAGGACACTGATATTTGCACTGTTAGAAGGTGGCCTCAGAATCAGTACATGTAGCATTCCTAAACTTGGTATGGTGGGGAGGCGTGTCCACTCTCTTCTAGGTGGCCCCCTAAGAACCTGGAGAGACGAGCAGGGCTGGCAAGCGCAGGACACTATCAGGGCAGCCAAAGGCATCACAAAGATGGCATGTGCTCATCAGGGCAGATGCAATGGTATGTGTTGTGTCAGCCAAAGGGGTTGTCTGTGAGAGCAGGAAAGAAATGCAGGACTGTGTGAGCAGCAGGGAATCTGAGCTTGAAGCTGTTTTCTCTTACCTGTCCAGAGATCTGCCACTGAACTCCTGGCTTTGGGATCCTGAAGGCAAGTAGAGTTCCATGCCCTCCTCCCCTAGAGGACAGGGGGATGATGCTGGGAGATACACTGCTGTCCAGAGATGCAGCGCTCGCACATGGCACACTGGGTGCAGCACCTTCAGGAAAAGTGACATGCAGGGAGAGAGCAGGAGACAGGAGGCTTCTACCCACCCAAAGCCTCCCAGATCCTGCCTCCCTATTCAAACATGCCCTTCTACTCAAATACCTGGGGTGGGAGTTCTGCTCACCTGCTCAGAGCTGGCCATGTAGAGGAGGTTGTGGAAGTTCTTGTTGCCAGCTCTCAGGAGTGACCACACCGAGCAGGTGCGTTTATATATGTTGTGCATTTCTCGCTCAAAAGGGTTGTTGCCCAGGAAGGTCCCATACAGGCAGGAGTATGTGTGCTGTACCAGTTTCACCTGCAGCAACAAGAGAAATGAGCAATTGCCAGGGCCCACAGTGCTTCTCACATCCCAATGGGAACATGACCTTCCACCCTATTTGTGGTTCAGGTCACCCTAACCCATGCTATCCTAACCCAACTCCTGGCCTCTCAGTTTTCCTCATCCATCCTGTGAGAAGATGAAATCAGTAGCTACTTACCTTGCCATGTACCAGGCAGTCATCCATCTGTAATTCTGACTTGCCTTATGTGACTAGTCAGAAAGCACCATTTGGTCTCCTTTGGTCTCCTCCTAGTACTACTTGTGTCTCATGCAACTGGTGTCAGGTATAAATTAAGACTTTGGCCGAAATGGAATAAATGAAGCCATCTGAATCCCTTTGTCAGGAAGAGGATCTGGCAAAAGCTATAGCTACTATGCTTCTACGTTTTCCTAGAAGCACATGGGATAACCGAGAAACCACAGTAGGTGAAATCCTTCACTCTCCTCTATGTCGTAGATACAGAAGCCCTGCAGATCTGCAATTTGACTTACTGGGAACTTGAGGGGTTGCAAATTTCTAGACCAAGGTATTCAGAAGCACCATGGACAATGATTCAGGCCAGCATGCCAAATAAGCCACAGTTAAATCACCTGAATTTGAAAAATTTACATATGGGCTAATTAGAAACCACAATTTCTGACACTGGTGACTTGGTTAAGGATACTGCAAAAAAGACTTGGCTTTGCTAGGAACAGCAGACAATCGCAAAGCTAGTTAAGGGTGTGCTGCTAAATGGAAGCATTACCAGGTAGTGAAAATACAAAAATGAGTCTGTTTAAAATACATGGCTGAGTCCACATGAGCAGGGGCATGCCTTTGCAGCAGCACAAATAGTAGCAGCGCAAATTTGTGCCACTACTTTGTGCCGCAGTGCACGCACCTGCACATGTGGTTTGCAGTGGGACACATTGTCCCACTGCTCCACATGCTGCGGTGGGGGGGCTGGCTAGGCTACAGGGTGCCTCAATAAGGACTAGCCATTTCCTGCACTGAGGCACCCTGTGCCTTGGCCAGCCAGGGAGCAGCATACGGAGATGGGGGAGCATGCAGCCCAGGACTGCCTGCACCCCCATCTCCACATGCTGCAGAGTCCCTCCGTGCTGCAGAGTCCCTGGCTAGGGCGAAGAGTGGCTCAAGACTGTCTTCATGTGCCTCAGCACGGGGGCTCCACTGCAGAGCCCCTGCGCTGAGACAGGTGGAGCACCCACCCTGAGGCAGTGTGCCTTGAGACGGGGGAGCAGGCAGCCTGCAGCTCTGCAGTGGAGCCCCTGCACTGAGGCACACAGAGACAGGAAAGCAGCCAGCCCAGGGCTGCCTACTCCCCTGTTTTGAGGTATCCTGCATCCCAGCCAGACAGGGAGTAGCTGGCTGGGGTGCAGGGTGCCTCAGCATGGGGGCTCCATAGCACAGCATGCATGGGGGCTCTCCACAGAATGCATCTCTGCATTTGTCTTAGCACCTTCCACTTTGACGCCACTTTTTTCCAGGCCTTTTTTTTTTTTTTTTTTTGCTACTGGGAAATCCCAGTAGCAAGTTTTGCCCCAGTGCTGGAAATTAGCAGCATCGCACATTGATTAATGTGCAACTCATGAGGTTTGCGGTGTCACAAACCACATGTGACTGCTTGTTTGGATCCAGTCCATATAAGTACAAGGGTAAATCAAGGAGAGAAGATTAGTTTGCTACATTAGAGATATTATATCCTAGAAAGGGTCTCCAAGCATAAGGAGAACTGTCTTGCATATAATTAAATCCACCCCTTTGCCAGAGGCTGTCTTACTCGGTATACGTTGCAAAGAAGCAAAATACACTCATCAATGCCTAGGAATCAATTTTGGCAAATTTACCAAGAGTTGCTCTACAGAAGATTTTTTAGGACCCTGTAAATCAATAACTACTGGAATTGACTGCAATAAAACCCCAGAAAACATAAAAAGAGTGACATTCCTCATTAACATAAAATATGAAGCAGAAAAAAATAATCAGTCCACATGATAAAACTGTTCTAATGTATCTATAGTGAGGTAGAGACCAACAAGAAGGTCCATATTTATTTGAAAAAAAATCTCCAAACTCAGATGAACAAGCAGGTCTGCCAACTTTTGACTGAAAAGGGTGGAAAAGATATTTTAAAATCTTTCACACTAGAGTGTTTAACCTGTTATCATCACTGAAATGTTCAGGACATAACTATCAAACTGACACGCCCCAGTGTGGCAGCAAAAAAGGCATATTGTAGAATTCCATTAGCATTGGATAACTGTAAAGAGCTAGAGGTGAACTGACAGTACAATCAAATGCAAGTATGTAAGGGCAGACTGCATCAGCCGAGTAGCACAGTGAGGATACCAGGTTGAGGATTTATACTAATCCAAAAGATCAAAAAAGGCCAAACAGGCATGCCCCCATTCTGCTTCCACTGCCCAGAGGCCTCACTGTTAGAGACCTCCTTTACCCCTCAGCCACTAAAAAATCTAACTAATAATAAGGTGCCTTTCATTTTCACAGAAGTCCACCTTGATTTTCCTAAGCTACAACAAGCTCTAACCATCCCAGTTTTCCCTCTGCCTCAGCTCTTGTTGGACAGGCACAGTTCTTACCAGGAAAGCTTCGTTAAATTCAAACAGACAGGGGAACTGTTTGAGCAGCTGATGGACAGCATCCAGCCACTGAAGAAACACTGGGCACTGCTCATTCTGATCTTCCACCTTCTCCTGGTGGCCACAGCGATCACCAAATTTGTGACCAAAATCCAGCCAGTCTGATTCAACCAGCACCTGGAAACCCTGTCAACAATGAAGAAATTTAATTGCAGGGTGGGGTGGCTACAGCACTGAGCAGCATGAGGCAGCTCCAATAATGCAGGCAGCTTCAGCAGCTTCTGAAGGGCTAGAGAGGATACTGTATTTGTGCTCAATTCAGGAGCAAAGTAACTTGAAAGCTCATGGTTTTATAGAAGGATGTGGTTTGTTCCAAAGAACTGAACAGGTACTTTTGAGAACCTGTAATCAGATTATAAAAGAGTGGCTACTAAATCCATGGAGCAAATCCCTTTGGGTGACATGCAGAGAACATGGTGGGAAACCTGCTGAGCCCTCCTACTTTTTCCTCCTTATGAAATCCCATGGTTTCCACCCAGTGAAATATGCATTACAGAAAAGGTCCAAGGTGGATGGACAAGAAAACCACACTGCAACAAGTCTTGGAAATTCTTAAAGAGCAATATAGTGAATAACAATTCCACTCTGGCTTTTTTTCTGCTGTCTGAAGCTCATCACAGGCAAAAGCAACTAAACAGATGCTGAAATAAGAGCACCATTGTACCTCCATGGTCCTGTAATATGGATCCAGAAGAATCTTTGCCAGTGCTACAATCTGTGGGGTTCTGTCCCAGCCATCTGAGCAATGAATCAACACTGGACGCCCCTCTCGATCCACTGCATTGGAGACGAGAACTGCAGCCTTCAACATGACAGAAAGGTGTTGCAGCCATTTGGTGCTCTCCAGGGCTGAAAGCCAGCTACAGTATGTGCACAGGAAAGAAAGTGGTTTATTGGCTATCTGCTCAAGGACACATCTATCTCAAGACTCCTTAGAGTCCTGAAAATGCTCCTGTTTTTTCCCCACACCATCTCCTACTGAGGCAAGCTGGCCAGCTCAGGAAGAACTATACAGAATGCAGCCACCAAATCCATTTTTTCTGGGACTCAAATACTCGGTGGTCATAGTTTCATAGTTGATAGGGTCGGAAGGGACCTGAGCAGATCATCAAGTCCAACCCCCTGCCGTGGGCAGGAAAGAATGCTGGGGTCAAACGACCCCGGCTAGGTGATTATCTAGCCTCCTTTTAAAGACCCCCAGGGTAGAAGTGAGCACCATTTTCCCTGGAAGTTGATTCCAGCTCCTGGCCGCCCCGACTGTGAAGTAGTGCCTCCTGATATCTAGCCTGAATCTACTCTCCGTCAACTTATGGCCGTTATTCCTTGTTACTCCCAGTATTACTACTTGTTACTCTTTACCGAAACACACAGAAGAGACATTATCAGGGCTTACTCTGTCTAAGTTTCCCTGGGGATAGTGTTTTACAGGTGTGTGAACAAGTCATTCCCATGCCCATGAAAAAGAGCAACAACATTCCTTCAAAAGTTTCCCTTGCTGGTCACTGGCAATCACAGAGCGTGTAATGCTCAAGCACAGCAAATGTGCCAACATTTCCCTCCCACTCTGATTCCTGAGCTGGTGGCCTGGAACAGGTGACAGACCAGGAACAAGGCAGTGAGGATTTCTAGAGGGGCAAGGAAAGAAACGAGCAGGGAGAGTAGCAGCCATGATGTCATGATGAACTAAAGAGAATGAACACTTACTTGCTAGGATCTGGCATCTGGCTACAGACAGCACGAAGATACTGGAAGCTGTTCCGGATGGCGTGGATGTTGGCCATGCCCATGAACACCACTTCACAGTTGGGGTAATACTCTAAACATAATGCAGAGAAGCTCAGATAGGATCTGCCACACACTGAGCAAATGTGTCACTGCAGGTGTTCTATCACAACCTGGACACAACTTGCAGAAGAGGGTCTGCTGCCACCTACCCTAGTGCATTCCTGACCCCCACTCATAGGCAAGCAGTCTGTCCCAGAGCAGTCTCAAGGATAAGTAGGCAGCTTAGTTGGCAAACGCTTGCAGTGTTTTTTCCAACTATTTAGTTGTCTAATAAAAGACATCACATCTATCCAAAGAACCTTGCCTGAGTATGTCCTTAGACCAACATGGCTACAACCAACAACTTTGCAGTACTCTGGAAACTCAAAAAGATTTGTGTGTTGGAAACTCTACTCAGAGGCTGCCCCATCCGACGCCATGTACTGAAGGACCCCAACAAATGGGAGCAAGTAAAGCAGGTAATGCCATGAAATTTGCTACAAAACCCAAATATAGTTGAATACCTTCACATTCACAGCCTCCTCCCTTTGCCCTGTTGGCCACAGCTGCAGTGTAGGACCTGGCATCCAGGATGAGCAGTTTCTGCGGAGCACCTGCATTCTCCACACCTGAACACGCCGTCAGTGAGGAATCTGTAGAGCAAAAACAGGCTGAGCCTCTTTATGGTTGGGTGCCCCTCCCTCCTGTGCCATGGCTCTGCTCCCACTTCACTAAGCTAGTGCTGCCAGACTCTGAAAAAGTGCTTGTTAAAAGCTTTGCTCAGTGCAACGCAGTCAAAGCCTGAAAAGGCCCAACCACTAATCTTAGAGTCTGTTTTAAACCCTACACCAGAGCATCAACTCCCCCCCACCATGTGGAAAGCCAGTTGTCTGGATTTGCCTGTATCTCTAACATAAGCCCCAGGTCTGGAAAGCCCTGCAGAGAACTAAGCAGCATCTGTGTCTGGGAAGCGGGTAGTGGGAGATGGGGGACATCTTACCAAAGTCTGTGTCACAGGCCTCGTTGCCTTCGCTGGTTCCATTTTGGGCCGTTCCATTGGCTGCTTTTGCTCCAGGGTTCAAGGCACAGGCTTTGGCAATGGAGGTCACAAGATACTCATCATCAGCATTGCGCCAGCCCCACCAGCTTATTTCTGGCTGACTGCAACGAGCGATCACGGCCCCATTCCGCAGATGTCTGAGAAAGCAAGTGAGTCTGATCTAGCCCTCTGCAGACACCAAGCAATCTCCCAGAAAATGAACCCCTCTTCATCCAGATACTACAGGTACTCATCTGTTCCCATGGCTGTACTGCCTACACATGTGATGCTCTCTTTCTCAACTCTCCTACCCCTAGTGAGGTAGGACAGGACCGTCATTCTTGCCACATATAACATACACAGAAAGTTAGGTAAGCATACATGGTGTCTGCGAGACCAGTGTTCTAAGCCCTGTCTCCTAGGTTAGCACACAAGCCATGGGGTCATCCTCGACCCTTTTTAGAGACAGGTGTCCAGTTGTGAGAACTCAACAGCATTCAGAGCAGTTGTACTCCAATAGGCCAAAGCCTTGGCTCATGAACTGTCTCCCTCAGTGCCTGACCCAGACAGCAATGCAGAGTGCACAGCAGGTTAAATGCAGGGAACAGTGGAGGGGTACAATAGGGTGAAGAGTGGGCAGTCAATGAAAAGATAAGCTGTGTTAAAGACCTGGCTCCCCTGTTTGGCCTAAGAGATTGCCAAAAGGAGCGCCCAGGACCTCACCTCTATGCAGGGAGCAGAAGGAAGGAGGCATCTGGCCTGAGCATTCTTCCCCTGCCCTGCAGGGCAGTTACCAGCATGGGACACATGGCTTTGCTCCCACAAATAAAACAGACTAAGCCAGATTCTCTGGTCTTTCCAAACTAATATTTGGACCTTCCCAAACTAATGTGTAGCCTGAAGTTCACCAACTTCAGACACAAGTGGGACAAACAGAGACACTGTCTATAACCACTACGCATCAACTATTGACCAAGGCCATCCCCAGAAAGAACCGGACTACAAAGGGCAACAATCCATGTGGGCATATTGGGGTGGGGAGGGGCATGCTGGAGAAGAAAATACATGCTTTTGACACCAGCTGAGTGGATGCTGAACAGGTGTCAGCAAGCTTTAGCTACTCCATGCACCACTCCAGCAGCAAAAACTGAAATCAGCATGGCGAGAATGGGGAGACGGTACATTTCCTTGTCTCAGCACTGAACACACTAGGCATAGAGCGATACCACCAAATACATACAGCAGACACAATGAGGCCCAGGCTGCTGGAGCTGTGGATGTTAGAGATGAGTGTCGGTGTGACCAAATCCAAAGTTAGTTCTTAGGGTGCCAGAAGAGAACAGCAAGACTGTTACTGAATGATTCTGAGGTACAGCTCTGTCCAGAGCAGAGAAGCATAAACAAAGCTCATAAAACTGAATCAAATGTCTGTCAAGTCAAACTCATCTCAGGAATGACAGAGGATGCTCAACTGCAATGGCTATTTATGTCAAAACTTGTACCACCTAAGCCCCTGGCTAGGAGATTCTCACCTAGACACAATAAAGAAACTCTGAGGACTAGGAAAATGCTATGGAGGAAAAAAAGTTACTTGTCTCTGCAAGACCTGTTGTTCTTTACAACCTATGGTCTGAACTCTAAAGTTGGTGTGCACAGCCTCAGCATCAGTCTTTTGGCCAGAACCCTCTTTTAGGGTCACACTAAGCATCCCCTGGCCAAAAGATTCCAATCCTGGGTGCGTGTGAAGCACTCCTGTGGACAGGCAGGCATGACAAGCCCTCAAGAAAGAATATAATCTATGGGTGCCAAATTTACCTGGGGTGGCTGCAGTGGCAGCAATGACAGAGATCCCTGTGGTGGCAGCAACAACAGTGGTGGTGGCTACAGCCACCATGGTGATAGCAGGGTAAGCAGCCATGGACAGGCAGCCTCTTGCCATGGCAGCAGGTCAGACGACCAAAAGCTGTGTGACACAGCCCTTGTTTGCCCACTTGCTTCTGAGGGCCACAGGGGGCACCAGAATCCACAGCAGATCACACCCACCACCACTCACACCCACACTCCCTACTTCCAGCAGTCCAGCTGACCAAATGGAGCAGCTCCATGGGCCATATATTTGACACCCGTGACATAATCTATTTAATATTTCTTTCCCAGAACTTCATTGAAGCCTGCCAAGAATTACAACTATGAGTATGATGTACTAAAGGAGTTGTGTGATAAAATTTTTATACTAAAACTATGGCAACATAATATTACATTGATAAACATTCAGTCAAGAAAGGCAGAAAGTCAGACATCACACCTCACTCTGGTGGGGACACAAAAGATAGGCACAGCTCCCAGTCACATATCATTTCTAAAAAAGACAAGCATTGGGGTAACAGAACTGTGCTTGTATGCTCCAAAGCCACCTTCCTTCAATGTAGGATGCAGTTAGCTTTAAATCCAACTTAACAACGGAAAGAGTTGGACTTAGTGCCAACCATGTTTATTATGACCCTGTTGTAAGTGAGGTGTGACATTTAGGTTAAGCTCAGTTTGCTACATCCTTTTGTCAGCTTACTTCCATATTTAGTAAATAACAGTACCAGGAAACAGAGCTAACACGGCAAGTGCTATCTCCTTTTGAACCTCCTGGCTTTGGGCTCTGGTGTTCTTGGGGGCCTTGTATGAAATTCCTGAGATTTATTTTTTTTAAAAGAAATTGATTGAAGAAAATTTGTGGCTAGAGACCCCAAGGACACACCTTGCCAGGTGTACATGGAGTGGGACAGGCTGCTCCTCTCGCTGTGTACCTGATTAGGGAACAATCTATTTCAAGTGTGTTACTTTCCTGAAGTACACTTTTAATCAGACAGGACTCCCACAGAGCCCTGCTTCATTCATGACAAGGGCTGCTATGTTCTATAGTTACTGTGCACTGTACCATGGTAGGATGGGTCACTGCACAGTGAATGAGATGGGGCTATTCTGCTCATGGAACAGATTCACTACAAGTTTACTACATAAATTCCCCTGTGTGCCCAAGTGTCATTGCCTGTGGACATTGTAGTCAAAAAGTTCCAGCCTTGTCAGAGAGTTACTGTGCATGAATGAAGTACAAAGTTCAAAAACTCGGAGAACTCAGTTCAATCAAAAACAATTTGGCCTGGAATATTAAAAGATACCACTAGTGCCCAAGGGCCAGTGCCTCTGCTAACTACAGCATTTATACCAGCCACCAGAGTTTTCAAAAGTGTCAAACTCCTGGGGAGGATTTTTTTTCTCCCTAGGGGGGAGGGAGTACATTTTACTCTTCACATTCTTAAAAAGCAGCTGAACCACTTTTGTCTAATCTTTTTCCTAAGTTACCTTTAAGCAAAGAACGGGCCTACAAAGTTTAAGAAAATTACAGTGCCTGGCTACAAGTGCTCTGCAGACCTTAGTTCCAGGTGGCACCTCTAGTAGGGACAGAACTAGCAGCCTTAACTCTGACTGTACGTAGGGAAACTATGACATCTGATGGAGAATTATATCTTCTTTCCTCGATACTACCCTTGTTGGATAGTGCCTTCCATCAAGGTTCATAGTTGTTGTAGGGGATGACATGTCTGTGTAGGCTCCCAACAAAGAGAGCATAAAGAAATTTCCATAAAATAGCTGGCTGGAGGTACAAGCACACAACCTGATTTCTAACTGTGCTCCAGTCACAGTACCCGGAGTGTATTGACCCTAGGGTAGGATTCGTGATGTCATGTATCATGGGCTAGGAGGGAAAGGACAGCTATTGCAGATTCTTTTTACCTGTACACAACAACAGGGATCCTTTTCCAAGACCTAAAGGAGGCCACATTCTCCAGCTCTTTGTCTGTGATCCAGACCGGAACTAGCAGCTTCTGGGGATAACTGGTACAGAGTCTAGAAAGAGAAGGTAATAAGGCAGAGATCAGAGCTTGGCAATCTGAATGTGCATTTTTCCATTTCTCTACAGGGAGAACAGGTCTATTTGAACATGACTAATGACCACAAAAAGCTTTGAGTGATTATTCCCAGTTACCATGGGAACAGCAATTATTTGTTTAAACAGCTATCTTAAGAGAAAGGGACGTGGACTGGGCTGTGTGAGACTGGACATCCCAGGACAAATCATCATCACAGAGCATTCAATAAGAAGTCCTGCCCTCCTCAAAGGAACGCAGGGCAAGAGAACATCCCACTAGACCTGAGCAATCCTCATAGGTGTAAGGAGGCAAGTCCCTGTCACACACCAGGAAATTAGTAGATGGTGAGGGCCAGAAAGAGGATGAGAATGGCCCCTACTCATCTATTACAGGGACAAAGGGTTTTATTATTAAGTGGGTTATTTTTCTTTATTCCTAGTGCAGCTACAACCAACCCAGTAACGCTTCCACAAGCCCTTCTTGGTTCCTCTTTTCTTCCTGCCATCGAAAGCTAAGAAACCAAAGGCTCAAGTAAGAACCCAAAGCAAGATCCCAGTCGAACAGAGCTAGAACAATTCGAAAAAATGGAGCCAAAACCGCAGTTTTTATCTGTCTCAAGAGCAAAGGTTGTCCAGTGCTGCCTTGTGCCGTTTTAGAACATGGAGACTGGTTAAGCTTAAACTTTACACAGAATGCCTGTGACATACCTCTAACTTGGGGGTAGGCAATTAGTTTGGCTGGTGGTTAACTTAATGAACTTTGGTGAGCTGCTGAGGGCCGCATGCATAAAATTTGTCAGAAGATATCATTTTAACAAATTATAGATAAAAAACAAATCTTATACTAAAAACCAAACATCTATTGCAACATTTTAATTTTATATATAAATCAGGGCAAAATTATTTTTAGGTTTTCTTGAATAGTGTAGAGGCAATTGAAGAATAGCTCAAAATAAAGTAGGGGTGCGGTGCACTGATATAAATTTTTTTGGGCTGATACCGATGGCCATATCGGCTGATACTGATCAGATTTTAATGAGCCATATCAGCCGATACTAATCTGATTGCCAATATGCAGCCAGGCAGCTTGGAGAGTAGTGTCCAAGTGGTAAGTCTGTTGTGGGGGAAGGGGCAAGGGGGAAAGGAAGGGGTGAAGTGGGGGGCAGATCAAGGCCCCAACGGTGAGGCAGGGAGTGGAGCTGGAGCAGAGGCTATACTAAAAACCAAACATCTATTGCAACATTTTAATTTTATATATAAATCAGGGCAAAATTATTTTTAGGTTTTCTTGAATAGTGTAGAGGCAATTGAAGAATAGCTCAAAATAAAGTAGGGGTGCGGTGCACTGATATAAATTTTTTTGGGCTGATACCGATGGCCATATCGGCTGATACTGATCAGATTTTAATGAGCCATATCAGCCGATACTAATCTGATTGCCAATATGCAGCCAGGCAGCTTGGAGAGTAGTGTCCAAGTGGTAAGTCTGTTGTGGGGGAAGGGGCAAGGGGGAAAGGAAGGGGTGAAGTGGGGGGCAGATCAAGGCCCCAACGGTGAGGCAGGGAGTGGAGCTGGAGCAGAGGCAGGAGCTGCACAGCCAGGGCGGGGCACAGGACAAAGCTGCGAGTGGCTCTTCCAGAGGGGGTGCAGGGTGGCTCCTGACGCTGCATGCACCCTGGGAGGGCATGGGGGGCGTGTGCCCCGGGATTTGTGTGCAGGGCAAGGGCAGGCTGCTGTTGCAGGCAGGCTGGGGCTGGGGACAGCACCAAGCTCTTCCCAGCAGGGGGTGCTGAGTAGAAGGTGGCTGAGAGCTGGAACCATGAACACTGGGGCAGGAGCTGCCTGGCTGCAGCTTCCCACCCCTCCTGGCTGGGCATGTAGTGCCTGGAACGCATCCCCACGCTACCTGCTGCCCAAAGTGGTGCAGCAGGGGCAGGAGGAAGAGAACCACTGGAGGCTGGAGGAGCCAAGCAGCACGCAGGTGGCTGCAGCCACACTGGAAGCAGCTTTGCCGGAAAGTTGTGCGCGCTGGCCAGGGCTGGGGCAGACAGGAGCATGCCATGGGCTGCCCCAGGTGGGAGTGGGTGGGGTTTGGCCACAATCGGAGCACTGCGCACTGGATACAACCAATTGGTGAGTGCCTACCCGCAGGTTGGATCCAATCTGTTGATGGGCTGAATCTGGCCTGTGGGATTCCTCTATAAGGAAGGCAATAGCCATTAGAAACAGTGGCTCATTGTTCCAGCTCTACCCAGCTACAATCTTGCTTTGGGTTCTTATTTGGGCCCTTGGTTTGTTGGCTTTTGGTGGTATTGGAGGAGGAAGAAGAAAAAGGCACCAAGAAGGGCTTGGGAGTGGTGTGCAAGTCGGTTGTCTGAATAAGCAGGCATGCAGAAAAATGAAGAGCCAGCCATTGTTTGTGTTATGTTCCACAGAACTGAACTCCAGCATTCACCCGCAAGAAAGATATGATGGGCAGATGCTTACTAGTCACACCTACCCACAGAAACTCTAGGTGAAAGGAGTTCTCATGCACAAGTGGAGGATCAGCAGAAGTCAGTACACTACCAACTTTCAAGCTCAATGCTACTGGTCTCCATGCAGAGGGATGAGCTACTCCTCCTGAGAGATTGCCAGTAGGTGGAATAAGGCAGATATAGTAATGAAAAATATCACTGCACTGCATGGGGCATTTCTCCAGGAGAGGAAAGAACATCTAAACAGGCAAAAATAAACTTAAATTCTTCTCTTATTGTGTTAATAACGTTATAAAATCTGATACAAAGTTATCGAAGGCACATATCTAAGCAATCCACTGACTCATGTTACTGCACTATGGGAAACAGTCAAGGCTTGTCATTTTGGCATATTTGAGTCAGACGTGATTAAAAGGCAGCTCATAGAGAAGTGCATGTACTATGGCTGCCACTTTAGCCAACTCACAGGTGATTGTTCTAGGGACCTCCAAAGCTACAAGCAGGAGGCCATGCCTTTCCAGCTGGGTGTGTAACAGACTCATAACCTCTGCTGACTCTATACAAGACGGCAGCCTTGCACTCCACAGTGGGTTTCATGTGCTCAAAGTATTGCATGGAAGATTCCTGAATGAGCAGGGTTTAATCCTAGGAAATCCAGGTACAATAGCACAACTACATTAGTCAGCATGAGCAAAACCTAGAGTGTTTTTTGCTAGACCTTCAGAAGAGCATTTACACAACACATTTTCACCTTACAACCAATAGTCACTTCAAAGAGTATATCTCAGCACAGGCACCAGTGTGTATATTAATGGTATCTGCAACCACTGTGGAGCATCTACATACTTGCAAGGAAAATGTAGTCATGGGTGCTAAATGACAGACTTGGATTAAAATAGGGCCCTGTGCTGGAAGGACAGGAGAGAGGCAGGAGAATATGACCTGCCTGCAACAGCAGTGCGGAGAAATCAGAAGCAAGGGAGAGCAAGACTGCAAAGAGAACAGAGCTGGAAATGAAACAGGACACTGGGTGAGAATGAATCTTTAATGTGCTCTGGGGCTTTTGAAAGATGCTATTTTTATTAAAAAAACCAGAGTTCTGACTGTTGTGTGGGATATTTCAGAACACAGATTACATTTTCCAGCAAGTGTGTGGGATACTATACAAATACTATTTAAGGTGTGATGGACATGGACCTGCTGTGTAATTATGACTATTCTACGTGACCTACTTATTGAGAAAAATGACATATTAGCAATAGTATAATGTTTACTTTATGCTTATTTTTTTTAATTCAGTGAGGCCTATTGCCTGGAAGGACATGATGGTTCCCAGATAAGAACATCCTACACACACCTGAAAGTTAATGGCAAAGTTATTAACTCTGAGAATCCTATATCCTGTTTCCAGCAAATCGGTTTTGACAATGCTGGGAACTAACAGATAAAATGGCTATAAACAGGTAAAGAGTAACCTGACTCTTGTGGAGGGGGTGGGGAGGGTAAAGATCAAAGGCTGAGCAGTATTTGAAGAAAAACTCCCTGAAGCAGGGAGAGGGAACTGGTTTCTGAGTTAAGGGAACAGTTTATGTTGCTCAAACCTTAAGAGGTTTCAAGGAGTGTACTGGAAGTTTCACTTTTCCAGTACCTTTGTGCAGAAGACAGAAAGACCTCAGGTAAGCCAAGCTGGATATGTATATAGTCTGTCTATTAAGACAGGCAAGAATGTTTTTGGGCAATATCTTTTACTGGACCAACTGCACAGTTGGTATAAAAATCAGACAAGCTTTCAAATGCAAGGAATTCTTCATCAGGTTTTTTTAAGGTCTTTTTTCCTTGCTTTGGTTAGAATAAAATTATACTTTGCTTTAAGACACTCTGGTCAGTGGCTGCCAATGATTCTGGCCAATAATTATGAACAAAGTAATTGCAGGTCTTGACCCCAAGCCAGGCCTACTGTAATAATCATGGTGGGTACCAGAGGACCACAGTCCCAAGGCCTGAAAGGCAGAGAACCACAGAATTCCATCCCAAGGAGGTGACAGCTCTTAGCCTGAGACCAAGTATGCACAATACTTGAAGAGACTGAGAGAGGTCAAAGGTGCAGCCAGCCCTGTAACTATGGTAGAAGGGAACACTGAATTCTTGTAAGTCAGAAAAACAGTTCTGATTTATACAGAGACCACAGAAGCTGGATCCAGAAGTGCAGGCATGTGCAGTTTGTGGCACCACAAACTGTAGGCCCAGCACATTAAAATCTGCAGTGCCGGGATTACCTGGTAGCAAAAAACCCCCTAAAACACCGTGCAAAAAAGCATTATGGCGTGTGCCACAGGAACATAAAGCCACAGACACAGAGGCTTGGTTCTCCTGGGAGATACTCTGGCTGCCAGCCAGAGCATCTATCCTCCTCTAGTTCCATCCTGGCTCCTCTAGCACATAGGGAGCTGGGAGCAGTGGGGAAATGGCAGTTTCCCAAAGTGGGGCATTTTGCCCCACAGCAAAGCACACGTGCAACAGCGTGCACAGCAGCAAAGAAGTAGCGGCACAAATTTGTGCTGCTTTTTTGCCACTGCAAATGTATGCCCCTGCATGTGGGGACATGCCCAGAGGAAATTAAGTGAAGTGGATACCAAGTCCCAGAGAACATTCTGATAGATAAGCAGAGACACTGTTTCTTAACCAAAGATCTTTTTACAAATTCACAATACAACCAGCACATGACAACATATGATTGAGTCACTTCAGCCACCCGAAAGCAGTGACATGGTCTTTTGACTAGTAGGAAAGTTGTGAACCGGGAACTCATTAAGTTGCTGGATACCAGTTTGCAAGGAGATGCACCATGGGAAAGGATGGGTAGTATAATGGCAATGTCAAAACGAGAGACAGAGTGCTCTTCAAACAGGCTACTGCCATTTTCCCCTCAATTCAGGAAGCTGCCAACCTTGATTTCCTGTGGTAACTGAACAAGCTGTAGGACTCCTCTGGGATTCTCAGTGCTCTAGGGGCTTCCTAAAAGGCCATGCACAATGTCTTTCACCTTGAAATGAGGATGTCTGCTGACATGAGACAGCTGCAGGAAAAACTGAGGGAAGTATTTGCTGGATTTCAAAATAGGGCACTTAGGCTCAGCAGAAATAAATGTTGTTTTGGGCTTAGTGTTGATTGTGACACATGAAGAAAAGCTTTTATTGGCTTACTGTCAAGCCCCCAGACTATTATTCACCTGTTACTGTGCCCAGGAGCCCTACTACCTGGTGCACTAGAAAGCAAAATAAAAGACTATCCCTAGCCCAAACAGCTTACATTCTACACCACGGGCACCAGGTGGACACAGACACTGAAACAAAGAATATGACACTAAAAACACAGCAATACTGAGTCAGTCATGGGAACCTGGGATTTCTTACTATGTGAATGTTTCAGAGCCCCGGACTGGAGCCCAGGACTAATCAGAAAAAGGAGCTGTACATTAAAGAAATTCTCAGGCAAATAGTTTTAAAGGTTTCAAAATGCTTTAGTGGAAGAACCACACCCATTACATTACAAACTGGACATGGCAGCATTTGTTGCAGTGATGCTAGCCCTGCAGGTTAAGTGCAGTGTTGCTCAAATTACATGATCTGAGGGGATGGATCTGGCTTGTACACTTCTTTGTCTGATGCTTGCCCAGGGTAAGGTGATGAGTTGGGTAGGGTATACCTGGTATACTACTCACTTATAATTGCTGTTGATGTCAGAGACCCTCCAGACATTCTGCAAGTCAAAGCCCATCCTTGCTAACTCCATCTGAAACCGGTATCTTACATGGTCTCCTGGAATAGTAAAGCACAGGGCAGTTACTGAGGACTGAACAGGGCCAAGGAAACAACCCTGTCAGCTTAAACTTTAGGACAACCAACATAGGGCTAGATGAGAGATAAGCCACCTCATGTTATCTTCATAGTATTTTGTGGGAGGACTGAGAGTTCCAAGTGGTTACAGCTGGTTCCATGGTGTTTATTTCTTGTTCTGATTTACAAAAAGTACCTCTCAGTGTCACAGCACAAATACATGGAGATGTGCCAAAGCACTGATGGTTTGATCCCATCCCCTCTTTGTGGGCACGTTCAGAAGACCATGGATATGTGGCACCGCAAACATGTTTGCAGTGCCACACACTGCACAGTCATGTGTTTTCCATGCTGCTGAAAAGTGGAGCTGGGCTGCCCAGAGTTGTGCTGTGGCTGCCAGCCAGGCTCTGCTCTGCAGGAGTGCCACAGCTGCAGCCCCAGGAGGCCCCCCAGAACCCCAGGTAAAGCTGCTGGGACCAGCACAGTGCTGGCCCCTGCTTCCCTTACCACTCCCAGGGAAACCTGGCGTACATGGCACGGGTGTTCCCCAGGGACAAGTAGCTGTTGCACAAGGTACAATGCTGCTATTTGTCCCCAGGGAAGCAAACGTCTGTGCTCATCTGGACATGGCCTGTGAGTTACTATAGTAGCAGCTTCAGAGGAAGAAACAAGGAAGCCCCCTAGTGGTCAACTGTGAAATAATCATGTCCCAGGAACATTTCTTCTAGATTCCTCAAGTAGAGTTGACTCGTCCCCAGTGCACACAAGTTTCTCTCTCTGACACTTTTGTCCAATATGACTCTAGATGTTTCCATTACCTGGGCCAGTGTCAGACCCTAGAAAAACTATTAAATCCTTGGTCTCATTCATAGCAAGGAGTTCCATGGATTACTTGGGTGACTGGATTCTTGGAAGGATTAGTAAGGCCACAAGAGAAGACAAGATGCACCTGATAACAGGGTGTAAACAGCACCCCTATGGTCTGCCTCCATCTGGGCAGGCTCTATCTGGGCAACTCACCTGGGCGGCATAGATGTGCATGCTGATCCTCCTCATCAGCACAAACCCCCAAGCACCAGGCATGGTAGGCAAATGCAAACAGGTCCTCAGGCTTAGCAGGGCGGGCAATGGCTCGAGTAAGCCTCTTCAGCCACTCCTGGCACTGCTTAAAGGTGGAGAAATGGCACCTGCAGAACACAAAGACACAAGCTCACTAGGGCCCAGGCAGGAAATACTTGCAGGTAACACCACTCTCTTGCAATTTAACTGGGGGAAGGGGGTACAGTCCAACTTTCCTGGAAGGCCCAAGGGGCTCTGGCCTCCCCTAAGGAAGGCTCAGCCACACCTGTACACAGAAGGCACCTCTAGATGGTGGAGCCTGACAGCTGCGATGGTGAGAAGAGGGGTTCCCCAAGGCTGATGACTGTATCTGGGCCTGGAGAAGCCTTCATGCTGTGGCAGTAGATCATGGGACAGTTTAGCTACCTGATCACTTTGGAGTCCTTGCAGACAATGTGCAGCTGGAACATGTCCCGACACTCCACACTTTCCATCATCCTCAAAGGCACCTAAAGCAGGCAGACACAGGACATCATAAGACATCTCACACTGATCAGCACCCCAGCCCTGGTCAAGGCTCTGTAAGCAACTCCCAGTGCCAGAGTTTGATGTACGCAACAGGACATTCCTTGGTTTATGCAGCTTTATAATTGAGACGCTTGAGTCTCCCTTAAGGAGAAACACCAAGACCTCCCTCCACCCCCCTGGTCATGGTCTCACTGTCAGGGAAGGACTCACTGGGCACTAAAGGACAATGATGGCACTTGATACTAGTGATACAGGCTTCCTGGATACAGCCTAGTGAGCAAAGGGGATCACAGACATAGAGGGGGCAAGATAAGCAGGCAAATTTGGGTGAGAGACCCTCATGTGTATAATGCTGTGGGAGGAAGTCTTGAATTTCTGCAGTGTGGTCACAGATCCGGGTGCCCTGCCCCTAGTCTCAATACAAGAGAAGTGAGTTTTAGGTTGGGCTGCAAAAGCCCTTCCTCACATGTCTTACAATCCAACTATTCGGCACTGGTGAGGCCACATCTGGAGTACTGTGTCCAGTTTTGGGCCCCCACTACAGAAAGGATATGGACAAACTGGAGAGAGTCTGGCAGAGGGCAGTGAAAATGGCTAGGGAGCTGGGGCACATTACTTCTGAGAGGTTGAGAGAACTGGGCTTATTTAGTCCATAGAAGAGAAAACAGCAGGGATTTAACAGCAGCCTTCAACTACCTGAAGGGTGGTTCCAAAGAGGACAGAGCTAGACTGTTCTCAGTGGTGGCAGATAACAGAACAAGGAGCAACGATCTCGGGTTGCAGCTAGGGAAGTTTAGGTTAGATATTAAGAAAAACTCTCCCACTAGTAGGGAAGTAAAACACTGGAACAGGTTACCCAAAGAGGTTGGGAAATCTCCATCCTTGAAAGTTTTTAAGACCTGGCTAGACAAATCCTTGGCTGGGATAATCTAGCTGGGGATGTTCTTGCTTTGAGCAGGGGGTTGGACTAGAATGTCCTCATAGATTTCCAGGGTCAGAAGGGACCGATTAGATCATCAAGTCTGACCCCCTGTTCTGGGCAGGAAAGATCACTGGGGCTAAGTAACCCCAGCCAGGTGCTTGCCTAATCTCCTTTTCAACACCTCCAAGGTAGGGGAAAGCACCACCTCCCTTGGAAACCCATTCCATATTTTGGCAACCTTCACTGTAAAGGATTTCTTCCTGATGTCCAATCTAAATCTACTCTCCTTCAGTTTATATGGCCATTGTTTCTAGTAACCCCGAGGGGCGCCCTGGTAAAGAGAGCACCCCCTATTCCCTGTTGACCCCCACAATGAGTCTGTAGACAGCCACGAGATCATCTCTCAGCCTTCTCTTCCGGAGGCTAAAGAGATTCAGGTCCATCAATCTGTCTTCATAGGATATTACCTGCAGGCCCACAACCATATGAGTAGCCCTCCTCTGAACCCTTTCCAGGTTATCCACATCCCTCTTGAAGTGCGGCGCCCAAAACTGGACGCAGAGCTCCAGCTGCAGCCTCACCAAAGCTGCATAGAGGGGAAGCATCACCTCCCTAGACCTGCTTGTGATGCACCTACTAATGCAGGAAAGAATGCAGTTAGTTTTATTTATTACCTTGCCACACTGGTGATTCATGTTCATTTTTGTGTGTCAACTGTGACTTCCAAGATCCCTTTCCGCTGCTGTGCTACTTAGCATGGTACTTTCCAGTCTATAGGTGTATTGGTGATTCTTTCTCCCCAGGAGCAGTACTTTGCATTTATCTTTGTTAAATTGCATCCTATTCTGATCCGCCCACTTCCCCAGTTTATCTAAATCCGCCTGAATTCACTCCCTACCTTCTAGTGTGTTTACTATACCCCATAGTTTGGTGTCGTCTGCGAATTTGGACAGAGTGCTTTCTACACCTGCATCCAATTCACTGAGGAAGATATGGAACAGTACTGGTCCAAGGACAGAGCTTTGGGGGGGGGGCACCACTGCCCACATCTCTCCAGGAAGAAACTGACCCATCCACCACCACTCTCTGGATGCATCCCATAAGCCAGTTTTCTACCCACCTGACTGAAAAAATCCATATCACAGCTACTTAGTTTACTTGTAAAAATTGGGTGTGACACTGTGTTGAATGCCTTTTTAAAAGCCAAGTAAATAACATCTACCTCTGTTCCTGCATCTAAGCACTTTGTGACCTGGTCATAAAAATAGCCCAGGTTAGTCAGGCAGGATGTGTGTGCTATAAACCCATGCTGGTTGCCCCTTAACATTGTATTAACCACTGGCCCCCCACAAATGTGATCCTTAATTATTTTTCCTAACGTCTTGACAAGAATAAAGGTGAGGCTAACTGGCTTATAATTACCCGGGTCCTCCTTCCTCCCCTTCTTGAAAATAGGGACCACATTGGCCCTTTTACAGTCTTCTGGGACCTGCCGAGCGCCACGAGCACTCAGTTGCGCCACTGGTTTCGCTATGACACTGGCCAGTTCCTTTAGTACGCTTGGGTGATCAATGGGGCCTGCCAACTTAAATACCTCCAACCCCTCCAAGTACCCCTTCACTAGGTCAGCACTAACCACTGGTGGGCTGGTATTTCTCTCAAGCCAGACTAAAATCTCATTGGGAGGCATGTTTGTATCCGTGTCCAGGAACACAGATGCAAAGAAATCTTTTAAGAGCTCAGCTTTGTCCATCCTATCCATTACAAGTTGCCCTAGTCCATCCTGTAGCGGTCCTATGTTACCCTGCACCTTCTTCTTTCTCCGTATATACTTAAAGAAGGACTTTTTGTTACCCTTAATCTTTGTTGCCAGCCTGAGTTCTGTTTCTGCTCTGGACTTCCTCACTACTTCCCTGCAAGTGTGAGCCAAGCAGGTATACTCCTCCCTGGTGGCTGCCCCTTGCTTCCACAGCCTGTAAGCCTCTCTTTTCCCCTGTAGGCTCTCTTGGATTTCCCTGCTCTGCCAAGAGGGTTTCTTGGCTCTTTTGCCTCCCTTTATTTATGCGTACTGGGATGGTTCCCCTCTGTGCCTGCAAGATCAGTCCCTTGAGGAACTCCCACCCTCCCTGGACTTCCAGCTCACCGATGTTATTACCCCTCAGTCCCACTCCAAGTAATCTCCTGAACTCGTTGAAGTTGGCCTTTCAGAAGTCTAGCACTTCTGCCCTACTAGTTATCTTTCCCACCTTTTACCAGATAGTGAATCCTATCAACAGGTGGTCACTATCTCCTAGGTTACCTTGTACTTGCAGATCCCCCACCAAGGCCTCCCCTGTGGCCAGCACCAGGTCGAGGAAGGCATTTCCCCTAGTGGGGCTGCATATCTCCTGTGTTAGGTGCAGGTCCTGTATGCAGGTTAGGAACCTACGTGAACAGGGAGACCTGGCTGACTGCTCCTCCCAGCAGATATCCAGGTAATTAAGGTCACCCATGACAACCAGGTCCTTTGAACGTACTTTGAGAGCTGTCTCAAGAATTCTAGGTCTAACTCCTCCTCCTGGTTTGGGGGTCTGTAGTAGACCCCCACTACCAAGTCCCTTTTACCCCTACCCCCTTGTAATCTGACCCATAGGACTTTGAGCCGCCTTTCTTCTGTCCCCATTTTTATTACAGAAGATGTGCAGAGCAATGTACCCCCCACTCTTTTTCCCCAATCTGTTCTGCCTGTATACAGTGTAGCCCTCAATGCCCACTGTCCAATCATAGGTAGGGTCCCACCATGTTTCTGTTAGCCCAACCAGGTTGAAATCTTTGTCTGCAAGCAGGAGTGCAAGTTCCTCTTCCTTATTTCCCATACTCTTAGCATTAGTATAGAGACACTCAAGCCCCCCATTAGGCCTTAGTACTCCCCTATCCTGATGCTTAGGTCCCCTGGAAGCCCATTCCATATTCTGGCAACCCTCACCATAAAGAATTTCTTCCTGCTCTTAAGGTCCCTTCCAATCCTATTTTCTATGATTCTGGTGGGAGGATGAAATGCATATGGAAAAAAAAATGGAAAGGGAAAAACCTGACTGCCACTGAAAGAAAAACTAGCCCACATTCCAGGACAGGGGGCATTCGCTCACTCCAGAAGCACAGCCACTTCAGCCATGCCTATGGAAAATGCCAGGCCATGGAGCTCCTGAGAGATGCAATTTCTGTGCCACAGGTAAAAGAGCTAACAACTGCAGGGACTCCTGCATCTGGCTGAGTGAAAAGTGATGATAGAGCTGTACGAGTACTTCAAGAGATCAAAAACAAACCAGGGACAGACGGATCCAGACTTACATTGATCACAGAGTCCTTAAATTTGATATGAAGCCGGTAGTTGGAGATGGCGATCACGGCATCATTAGCATGGCCAAGATACTCCACCCCCTCACCCTGCAACACAGTGAATGGGACCTAGAGGAGAGAGACACATTTGCACAGTCAGAGAAGCTCTTAGGCAAACACATGCAGGGCAATCTGCACAGCAGATGTGAGAACAGCTAGTTCTCTTACTGCCTTCTGAATGCAACTTCCACAGGATGCTTGTCAGACAGAGCAATCTGTCTTTCTCCCTTCCTTGTGAATAGGCAGCAAGGTGGGATGCAGACTCCAGTGACTCCCCCCACTCCACCATTTGGGTTCCCCTCTGAAAGCTATTCTGTTTGAGATGCGATAACCACAGTGAAGCCCACTTCTCCAAGGGTACTGGACAGTGTCATCATTGCCAGGGATCCAGGTTTTCCATTTCCCAAGGAAAAACAGAGAACAATGTGGATTTCCCCCTTCACCTGAGGAAAATGCAGATTTCTCATTTTAACAGAGAAACCCACAGATTTTGCTCTTTTGCAGAGTTCCAACCTGCAAGGGGCTAGAGGGGAGTGGGAGGAGGTTGATTAGGCAGCCTGGAGAGCAGCTCCCACAGGTAAGTCTGGTGGGGCAGGGATTGAGGCCCCCATAAGAAGGGGCGGGGGGGAGTGTGTTGGGCAGGGCTGGGCAGGGGGCTAGAATGCGTTCCGGCAGGGCCCCAGCAGGGAGTGGGACAGGGCTGCAGGCAGCCTGTCCAGGGGCTGGGCCTGGCTCCCCATTCCTACGCACGCTCCTGGACCTGTTTTGTGAGCTAAAGGGGCAGAGGGAGCTCTGATTTTTCCATGATAAAACCCCCCCAAAATCAAATACCAAAATGTATAGGGATTTAGAATGTATTATATTGATTGAGGCACTAGTAGGCTTCCAAATTGTTTTAAAATTGTAAATATATCAATAAAACATTATGTTCAACTGAGTCCTATATATATATATAGAGAGAGAGAGAGAGAGAGAGAGAGGTATTTCATTTTAATCATGGATTTGGGGGTTTTAATCAGAGAATTTGGAATTTTTTTATCAGGGAAAACTGGGATCCCTGGACATCACAGAACTGGGAGGGGCCTGGGAAAATGAGCCTCCAGGTTAACATAGTGAAAAGGTTGTTGCTTCAACACTTGGACCCCTGAAATGTACTCTTTCAGGAAAGTGTCTGACCAGATACACTTCTGGATACATGAGGCGAAGTGATTTACAACAGAAGTGATGGCAATCCCCGGCTGTGCATCTTGGCTGTGAATGTCTGGCAGCAAGGTCAGGTGGCAAGGAAAGGGGTTTAATCACTGGCATTCTCACACAAAACAAATCCAACATCAGCCTGAGCAGCAAAGCAAGGCAGAGGGAGCTTAGGATGCAGATCTGGCACAGACAGGTCTCTTGTTTGGAGACACTTTGCAGATGGCTCAGAACCCTGTGCCAGTGGTCTGCATGACCTTAACACTCCCCTTTCTCCATAAGGCAAAGTGTCATGTCTGTACACGATCCTGCAGCATCCCCTATATGTAACTGGACAATTAGTAGCATCCTGAGACCCACTGGTTACAGTCCAGGCAAATAAATGGGACAGACAAGGCCCTGGCCACAACCCCTGCAAAAAGAGTTGTGCATAAATCTGCATACGCAGTTATTTTTGACTGAACATGGAGAAGTGAATGCAAAGACTACTGGACAGCCAATAAACCAGGCATCTTTCACTCCCTCCCTGTACTTCAGGAACTGACTCTGCTGTACATGGGTTCCAGGTTGGCAGCCAGATGTGAACATCCTTCTTGGGTAAAAATGGGAGGCAACAAACTAAAATTAGTTTTCTCTTTATGCTTCTTCCTGGCTCTCTGTGCCTTGCAGACTCAAAGCCTAGCAGTTTAAGGCAGGCTCTCTCTTCATAAAGCTTTGACTTCAGAACACAGAACAGCAACCAAAATATTTGGGACATACAGACTTCAACTCTGAGGCTCTAACTTGCTTGCATGAGGAAGTTGGTAGAGTTATCCATTAAAAACTCTGGTTTTTTTCCACTTTCTGATACTTCCATGGCCTACATTCATACTACCTGCATACTGACATCCCTGGCTCTTGGCCTTTGTTTTTATATAACATTTCATTGACAACTTACCCTTTTGTTAACATTTACAGATAACTTTAGACTCTTCAATGGACTGAAACTGACTGGGCAAAACTGAAGGTCTAAACTGGCAGAAATGTAAGGGGAAAATATCATGTTCTGCACTGACAACACTATGTTGAGCTATAGTTTTCTGTGCTTGCTTGGCTCCTTCTCAAGGCAACAGACAGGAGCCTTAAAAACAGGCTTGTAAAATCAGTAGACTTGAAAGAAAGCGGTGATGGAATGAACTGGACAGAGCTCTCAGGGGGTGGGGAGAACACTAGACAGGTTGTCCTAACCCCTGCTCTTCTGCAAAGTGCCTTGTTATATGGATTCATCCCATCTCTCTCATACCCATTTCCCAAGACCCCATATTTTCAACACCTTTTTCTTTCCTGAGGTCCAAGCCAAACAATGCAGTTCAGAGAGGCACGGCCAACAACATCCAGGATGTTCGAAGTGCTCTAGTGAGTGTGATTTGTACAGACAGATTCTGGTTCCAGCTACAGGCAGAGGACAACAACTGGGTGGGACTACATGGGAGTTTACTGTGCAGAAAACAGCAAGAGAATCTAGCAGCTTTGGTCACAGCATCAGTCTGTGCTATTGTCCTTGCTTGTATCCATGGCAGCAGCTATACCTACATCTTCCTCACCGCCCTCTCAAGGGTGGGCTGGCTCTCAGAGAGGAAGCCTCTTCTTCCAGCAGGTCTACAGCAGAAGAGCTTCAGGAGCACAACCCAGCTGACTAGATCAGTTGCTGCAGCAGGGATGCTTGTTGCCATGCCATGGGTAGTCTGGCTCTGATGCAGTCTAATTGGCCCAGGGAGGATCTCTCAGCAGCTGAGAGTCAACACAGAGGCTGTTACAATGCTTAACCCCCCTGAATGCTGGCACCGCTAGAGGGGTGTTGCCAGGATGTCCTTGCACTATATCATTCCTCAGCCACACTCTCATGACTCTCACTGCAGCACAGTGCAAATCAGAACATCCTTGTGGGCAGAAGGAACAGATGAAGGAAGAACCACAGAGCTGCAGAAAATCAGCAGCCTTCCAGCACATGGGCAGTGACCTAGATTGCTCACACACCTGGGGCCCAGGGTCAGTAGTAGAGCTGGGTGGGGCAGGGAGAAGGGGGGCACCAGCCCCAGACACCGACTTAAAGGGAGTGTGGGTCTGGTTCTCTCAGGAGGTTTTGTCACAGCAAGCACAGCCTGGGCCAGGCAGGCACAACCCCATGTCCAGCAGTGCATCTGGGGGGAAAAGGAAGGAATGACACCCTCTTCCCAGAGCCTTTACCAGGGGAGAAACAGCCCTGTCCCCTGGGGTAGAAAGGCAAATGGGGCACCATGAGCAGCCACCTGGGAGCCCCTACCACTGGTTGTCCCTCAGTGGCAGCAGCCCAAGCCCAAGCTGCTAAGGCAGTATCAGTAGCAGCTGCCACTCAAGTGAGGAGAGCCCCAGCATGCAAAGGCAGGTAAGACTCCTCTTCCTATCCTCCACCCCACCCCCAACCCAAGCATTGAAAGAGCCTGCTATGTCTCTGCCAGGGGTGTTGATGTTCCTTTGGCTAGGAACCCTTTCAGGTTTGGCATTGTCAAAGTCAAGCCCACCAAGTCCCGAAGTGGGTGTTTCCTGGGTTCTTCCATTCTTACCTGCAGAGATTCTTCCTCCTTAACCAGCTCTTTTTGGGGGAACAAGTCCTTGGCTTGGATGTACTCCAAACTGGGAGGGCCTTCCTCACCCTGCATTCCAAACAGAACACATACTAAGAGGCAGGCCACTTTCTCCATGTCCGTATAAGCTGTCAAAAGGCAGTATGCAGGCTCTCACCAGGAGATCACTGCCTGCTAGACCCCCCACCCCATTCTCCATGTAAGAGCACCCAGCACTCTGCATGGGCTTGCCCTCAGAACTCCACTAATCAGCTCCTATATTCCACATCAGGCCCTCCCTCATCATCACATAACATCAACAGTATGAAAAAACAGTTAATGCAGACCTTCTGGCTAAAGGTTGTACGGCAGAGCAGCATTTGATGAGCCAAGAAGAAATAAGCAAATGACGTATGATACAGATACCTCCCAGAAGGCAGATGGAGTGAATTTTTCATGGGATTTTCCATCATTTTTAAAAAGCCCTTTTGTTTACCAGCACCTCGGAGCCATGACAAGGACTCCACTGTTATTCCCAACTTTGGGGGCACTGTCTCTTCCCCATCTAATTTAAAAAAAAAAAAAGTTCACTTAAAAAAACAACTAGCTTCTTAACCTGAAGTAACTCACTAACATCATGGTCCATTCCCCAAGCACAAGTGCTCAGTGAGAACTGCTCAGTATATAATTTTCCTTGGGTTTGATAAAAACTTCTGAACTTAGATGAGAAAGGCTCGAACCTTGGGAGCTCCATAGAACTGCCTGAACACTAATCTGCTTGAGAGGCCTTGTGAAGCTTACACACACAGGAGTATATTTGTAGCACTTGTAAATCCCATGGAATAACCAGCTAAAAGAAGGTGGGGGGAGAGAAAGAGAGAGAGCGCACGCTGTATTCTGAACTTAGAACAATGACTCTCAAGAAGGGTGCTGCAGCACCCCAGGGTGCCTTGAGAACCTTTCAGGGGTGCCACAGAATGCCATGCAGTGTTAATACTTTTAGGTGTGCAAAATAAAACCCCGATAAATGCTGAGGCCACCTCTAGACTACCACAACCGTCGTATGTGGTGCCATACACACATCTGTGTTTGCCCCCTATCCAGGGGGCAAAAAAACCCATGGGGAAAAAAAGGCAGAGATGTGCACGCATAGGCAGCATGCACCACTCAAAAGTGGAGCTGGGCCGCCCACAGCCATGGTGCAGCTGCTGGCCAGGCTCCGTGAAGCAGAATTGCTGCAGCTCCGGAAGGACCCCAGGAAAGGCTGCTAGAGACAGCCCAGTGCTGGCCCTAGCCTCCCCCTACCCCACCTGGGGTAACTTGCCATGCTCCAAAGCATGTGTGGCATGGGTGTTCCCCAGGGACAAGTAGCGGCAGTGCAAGGTGCACAGATCCTATTTGTCCCCGGGGAACCAAACATCCACCCGTGCCCAGTGATTTCAAATAGGAAACCACAGTATTAAAAACCTTCTGACCTGTTGTGGGTTTTCTGAGTTCTCTGCAACAGAAGAATTGCTCTCTTATTTTTCCATAGTCAAACAAATGAGTGAAAGCTAATAGCTAGCACTTTCCAGGCATGCTGCCTTAAGTCTAATGAGGGGTACCTCAAGTCTAAAAAAGATTCAGAACCACTGTCCTAAACAGAGCTCCCTCTAAGCTGTGTGGTACGCGTGGCCGCACACGCGCACCTGGCAGCGCGGCATGAGCATGCGCCTGCACAGCCGCGCAGCCTAAGGCCACTGGTCCTAAACTATTTCACTCCCAAACTCTTTCATCCTGTTCAGTTAATAGTCCTCCCCCAAGTTAATTCTGTTGAGAAAGGAAGCAAGTTCTTAAATAATAAAAGAGAAAGTGCTGTTTTGTGCAATGTAAAGGTTGGTGAAAATTAGTGATTAGCGATTTGGGGTTCTTGCATGTGTCATTATAAAGGGAACTAGTTTTCTAAGGATTGCGAATTTGTTGCTTTATGAAAACCAGGACCCTTTAAATTGAGTATCCAAAACATATGAATGATGTTTGTAACCCTTGTTCCAGGTCAATGGTTCTCAACTTTTTTAGACCCAAGGCACCCTCTGACAGACCCAAGCACCCCTCAATAGATTTAAGGCACCCCTCGAAAGATATCAGATCTTATATTTCACTCAATTTTTGACTACAGAAAAACGATACAGCAATTTTCTGTTGCAAAGAATCCGGAAAGACCACAACAAGTCAGAAGGCACTGGAAGCTGCATTCTGAACTGAGAACAATGATTTTCAAGGGTGTTACAACACCCTGGGGTGCCTTGAGAATTTTTCAGGGGTGCCACAGAGTACCACACAATCTTAGTACGGTTAGGTGGGCAAACAGGATTGACAAGATAATCACAGAGATTTCAAATAGGAAACCACACTGTTAAAAACATTTTGATCCATGGCATACCTTGGAAGTGTTAGCTCTTAGCTTTCACTCATTTTTTGACAATGGAAATATGAGAGGAATTCTTCTGTTTCAAAGAAAGCAGGAAGCCCAAAACAGGTCAGAAGGTTTTTAACACTGTGGTTCCCTATTTGAAATCTCTGGGTTTATTTTCTCAATCATGTTTGTACACCCAGCAGTGCTAATGTTATACGGAACCCCAGGGCACCCTTTAAAGGATCTCAAGGCACTCCAAGCTGCCAAGATACCTGGCTGACGATCACTGGTTTAGGATAATTTATTCTGAATATCACCTAGAAATCAATATATTCTAGAGTCTCCCCTATATGTTTGATTTATTGGTCCACAAAGAGATCTATTTTTGGGTAAAATAACATTCACTTCCAAATCATAAACTGTTGGTTTTAATATATGAAAGTAAAATGAAAAAAAAATACTTGAGTCATTTAGGGGAAAACCTTGAAATACTGACATACCAGTGATCTTAGTGTTTAAAATCATCCATTGAACTAAATACTATTTTAGAGCAGATTTTTAAAATAACAATTCCAGCAGTCAGCCTCTTACACATACAATTTAACTAACTTAAGCAGACTTGTTCTTCTCATAGAGTGCAGGCCTCACACCTCACCCTCAGCACACAGAGTGTGGGCCTCATGTCACACTCTCCCACCCACCTTGCACAGGTATAGAGCACAGGCCTCATCACACACACACTCCAGCCAAGCACAGACCTGCTCCCTCTGCCTCAGGGTGGGGGATTTCTTCATTTCCTTGTCAGGCAGCAACGTTTAATGGGCAGGGAACACTGGGATCCTCACCCCATCCCGACTCCTTCCCAGGCAGCATCAGGAACTCTCCCTTGATCTCCCATGAATTGGATGCTCTCCTACTGTAATTTTCCAGCTGCAGCCCAGGGGCTGGATGGGAGCCTGCCCAGCACAGAGCACTTGCTCTAGTTCCCCTGCCCAACTCACAACTGTGGGCTACTTATAATTGTGCCCTTGGGGCCATTCAGGCAGTCACCATTGGAATGGCATGGACCAGGAACATATGGACATGTGTAATGGACGTGTGTGGTGGAAATCCCCTCCCCAAAGGGAAAAGCAGCTGGGCAGAAAGAGCATACATTAAGGCCAAGCAGATTCAGAGCAGGGTGGGGAGGAAAGATCTGCAGGATGATGTTGGGCCTCAAGGACAGGCCAAATCTGGGATAGCTGTATTTGTCTTGGGGCTGGAGGGAAACCCTGGCCCAGAGCCCTGCATGCAGATGCAAAACAGACAGACAGCAGAGAGGAGAGGAGGAAAAAAAAGCACTTACAAAGCAGTTGAGCATAGAGCAGGAGACACGGCCTGGCAGACTCATGTTCATTTCCAGAGGTGGCGCCTGGGCTGGGCACACACAAGCAGCATCTCCTTTCCCCGGTTCTCTGCTGCTGCCTGCAGCAACTCAGACACAATCACACGCTGATCTGCACAGCTTTCCCAGCCCTCAAAGGAGGGCAAAAGCATCCCTGCTGCAAGCAGCCAGAGCAGGTGCGCCTGCTGCTTCAGCTGCTGCTGACAATGGAGGGGAGGGAGGGAGGAGCTGGAGAGACTCCACCCACCACTGAAGGAAGCAGAGTCTGATTCTGCCATCTAAGTGCCTCTCCAGCAGACCCTGTGGAAAATGGAGAGACCAGCCCAGCTGGCCAGGAGGGCTTTAAGCACAGGCAGAGCTGGCGTTCGGCTGACACACAAACCCTACAGGCACATCCCCTTTCAAAGGAAGCTGAGAGGAGCTTGCTGGGAGATGCAGTCCCCGCCTGCAGCACACCCCTGGAGGTACCTGCCACATGCCTTGTGTAACCCAGACAGCATGTGCAGGAATGTGCATGAACAATAGCAGCCCGCTTGCTTTCTGCGCTCACAGAGAGCCCCTCCTTCTCTCAAAGGGACTACAGGGCTGAGCTCCAGCTCACCCCACAGCCACATAACTTGGTTTGTGAACTTCCCTAAGACTGCAACAAACTGCTACCCACAGATGACCAGCCAGCACAGCAAGTCCCTGCAGAGAAATTGTCTTGGGATAAAGGGACAGCCCTCCCCCTCCATGGGTTGCAGGCTTTTCTAAATTCCCGTGCCTGCAGCTTCCTCACAATCATGCAGCCTCCATCTCAGAGACGTTAGTCCAAGCAGAGTATGTCAGGCCACTAACTGAATCAGCTGCCCAGGGGTTAACTTCTCAGAAAGCCCTTGTGCACACAGTGCTCAAGACTGACAGCATCTTTATCACAGTATTGTTTTATCCACAAGTCCCCATCCTTCCAGGCTCATAACCCCATTTTGGGTGTGAACCGAGCTCCTGCATGTGAATTTCCATGCTTGTGACCTTTGAGATCCCAGTCCCCACTGTAAGCATGGTTAGAGACGACTGCTTGAATTAGTTTAACCTGCCTGTTCAAAAGGGATCCATCCCTGTCTGTTAGGGCTCTCAGAGCTGCTAATTCAAATGTGGCTAAACTGTTTTAAAGGAACAACAATGGGAAATGTATAGAAAGTATCTCAAGCAGGAAATGTGGCAGAACAGAACTATTGTTGTTCTAACAGCCCAAAATGCTGTGCTCCTGAGCACTGGCTTTCACGAGCCACAAAAGAGCGAAGCTTTCCAAAGTCACAATTAAGATCTTAG